GCGTCCTCAAACCGGAAGAGATTATCACTGAAGGTTTTCCGCGTAAAGTGGATTATTTCTACGCTATATAATCAAAACAACTGACAACTATTATTATTCAATAATTTTATATAAATTAATAATTGATAAGTAATTATTAAATAAAGAATCAAATAAATTACAAAGAATTACGAACAGCATATTAAACAAAACGGCTACTTCTGTATGCTTGTTAGATGCTTGCAGATAAGTTCCTGAAGTTTCATAATACACAATGTCAAATTTTCTTTCGATAATTCAGTCGGTACAGCATCGGGCTACGGGCTGGACTACAGAAGTTCAATTTCCAGGACAGGCAAAAGATTTTTCTCTCCTTTGCAGTGTCCAGACCGGCTCTGGAACACACCCAGTCACGTATCCTATTAGTACTAGGGGTTCTTTACCCAGGGTCAAAGTGGCCGAAGTGTGAAGCTAACCACTCACCTCCATCTAGTTCGGAGGTCAAGAATGGTGGAGCTATGCTCCGCCACAAGCCTTCCTGGTGTGCTATTTTATTAATTAAAGGCAGGGATAAATTTAGCTTTTACAAGCTCATGGAGAAGTGGAAGGGTACGTAATTGAACCTGCTACGACTAAAAAACAAACTCCTTAATAACAACGGCAATCCAGTTTCGTTCAACGTTAACATCTTTCGACTTGAAAACTGTTGAGGATCATTATCAGCACCCACATTACAGACAAACTGTGTGCGTGACAAGAACATAAGTTCATGCAGCGTGCCAGGTGGCCATCGATGCATGCAATCAAAATGCGCTCCTGCCATCTTGACCCACCTGTCAACCTGTTATNTCACAACTCTGTGGGTCTTCACGGTCTGTTACAGGGATAGCTTTACATTTTTTACCTTTTCATAATGAAAAGAGAACACAACACGTTTTCATTTTTTTGATACTAAGTATGAAATAATATTTTTTTCCGTTAAATCTGATGAACTGATAACAAAATTGACAGTTAAAAGAATGAAACAAGCGCAGTTTTTCTTCGTTATTTTCCATTCCTGATACAAGACATAAAAATGTACGTTCTATTTATTACGGAATTTGAGATAATTACATTATTTATAAGAGCATAAATTTTCATTCATTAACAAACCACATCTCATATTATGGTCAGGGGCGGCCCGTGTATAGGCACCGCGGAACTGCAGCACCCCCAGTTTCCACATGATATTATCGATAACATTTATATAATGAGTCCTTTTTTCTTTAATTCTTTCTTTATACTTGTACAATACAATATATAATCCTTAAGCTTAATGTCAGTAGCCAAATCTTTGTATGGAACTGTGCACTTCTGGAGCAGCACCCCCAGTAATTTTAGCTACGAGTCGCCACTGATTATGGTTAACAAATTTAAAAGAAGAAGTGTTAGAATATTTCGACCGTAGCCGTGCGAGCCGAAGAAAGCGACAAACATGGAACTCGATGCTGGGGGGTATAACTGGGCCACCCTATCACTGGGGGACATAAATACAGGGACTTGGTCTTCCAGGTTATGGGCTAGACGCTAGGTTGATGACCTAGCTCTGTAAAAGAAATACTGTTGCGAAACCTGATGACAAATCTGGCAGAACCTGTAAAGAATGCTACGGCTCAAAAAGATCTGTTTTGCCAATAATGATAAGAAATGACTCACGCACTCACTCATGGAGCTGAGCCCTTCTTGAAAAGCCGCCAATTGTACAGCTACTCAAGAACTTCCTAGTATTTTATGGAACCTGAAGGTTCATTACCGTGTACACAAGAGCCCTCCATTGGTCCCTATCCCGAGTCAGATCAATCTAATCCATACCATCCCATCCTATATGACGATAATAAAAAAACAAAAACCAAAAAAGGGGCTTCTGATTTCTTTAATTGGACTCAAAATTCAATGAACAAAAATTGTGACATGACACAACAACTCTAAGTACAGGTTTGGCATCATATCCTTATGAGAATTAATTTTGAAAGATATGTTTCTTTCATCTAACCATGTCCTTATCATTTTTCAGATCCCGAAGCTGTAGCCAGCAACTTCCACGAGTTCATCTTTTATCTGAACAACGAAGTCACACAGGTAAGACATGTGAAGACATAAACACATCTCTGGATAATTTGCCGACAGTTATGTTATGACTGACATTGATTACACTGATATGCTTTGGAAACTGGTTAAGTTAATGGTATAGAAAGGAGTATAGTCTCCAACACACGCACATGGAGTTTTCATCCTCCGTTAACTGAAGCTTGTGTCGCAAGCGAAACCATTTTGTATTAGGTTATGTACTAGACGACTTTGAGAATTTAAACCAATAGAATGCATTATCTGCATGTGATGGCCTCCATAAATCATGTATCTGGATTTCCTTACCTGAAGATTAAGGCAAGTAAATTGACCACTCATCTCCAAGCATTGCGCAATCTTACTGGCAGCTGTTAGCAATAGGCCTGTAATACTTAAAGGTAAATATGAGATTATTTTGGGGGGGATTTATATGAGCGCCGGGATTGCTCAGTCGGTATACCGACGGTCTACTAGCTTGATGACCGCAGTTCGAGTCCCAGCAGGTGCAAATGATTGTTCTCTTCTCTATAGCGTCCAGACAGACTCTGGGGCCTACCCAGTCTCCTATCCAATTTGTACCGGGCGCTCATTATTTTGGGTTAAAGCAACTGGGACGTGAAGCTAACCACTCATCTCCATATAATGCCGTGGTTAATAATGGTGGAGCTATACCTCCATTCCCTCATGCGTCTTCATGGCATATGCTTAATTAAATAGGCATGAGGACAACTTTAACTTTTACATTTTTTACGTAAGTTTTAGCTGCTCTATTCTGCGATACTGATATGGAAAGCAAACATATCTCTGGCGAAGACTGGGTACCCTTCATTCATTCATTCATTATTGAAGGGGGTTGGTTTCCCAATGCACCGCGACCAGTTGTTGATCCATTGTACGTCCCCCTTTGATATTCTACCAGTCGCCATTCCCTTCCGGTACAGGTGCTTGCTATCAGCCCCGTTCAGCCAGTGAGTTCGGCCCCTCTACTGGCAATGGTACCCGATAATTCCCCCGTCTACCGGAGGCATTGGAAACTACTTGGGCAGGAAACTTTGTACCTAATTTTGCTCAGAGGTCTCCTAGAGACATGAGGATCTTTTACGTGTCGTAAATCTACGACACGAAACCCTCCCGGAGGACTTGTTCCCTGAATTTTTCCGCCCTTAAAAATTCCACGACCTCCGCCGGGTTTGAACCCGCGTATCTTGAGTCATGAGGTGGGAACGTTACCCCTAGACTATGGAGGCCGCTGTGGGTAATCTTGCCTGCATTAGTACAGAAAAAATTCTAATACTCGAAAACAGCTGCTTCAACATTTTCGTTAAACTTCGGTGCAGTTACAGTGCATATTACCTACACTAATTATCAGGTCGATTTGCATCCGGTGCAAAATGCATATAAGTTATAATGTTATTAATTACGACAGTACTGATTCTATGTACTTGGGTATCATTAGAGTGTATATATATATATGCCGGTCACGGTAGCCGAGCGGTCTAAGGCATGTACTGTCTTCGCTCGCTTGGAAACCGGGATCACGGGTTCGAATCCCACTGCGGACATGGATGTTGAGTTTGTGTGTGTGCGTTTTTCTGTGTTTGTGTACAGGTAGAGGCCTTGCGACGAGCTGATCGCCCGCCCAAGGAGTCCTACCGAATGTGTAAGATCTAGAAAAACCGAAGTGAACGGAGAAGTTCATTGAGGTAGGCCTAGGCCCACTGGGGCTGTAGTGCCAAGGAAAAAAATATATATATACCTTAAATGTCAGAGGAGCCGGGATAGCGTAGTCGGTATAGCGGCTGATTACGGGCTGGAGGACCGAGGGGTTGGAGTTCGAGTCCTGTAGGGACAAGAATTTTCTCTACTCCACGTCATCCAAACCGGCTCTGGGGTCCACCCAACCTCCTTTCCAATGGGTACTGGGGGCTCTTTCCCGGGGGTAAAGCAGCCACTCACTTCCAACTAGGGCTGAGGTCAAGAAAATGTGGATCTCTACATCCACTCCCCCATACGCCTCCATGGCGTACTGCTTAATTTGTTAAGCACAGTGACAACTTTACATTTTTACGTTTGCCTTAAAGTGTCATACAAATAAAATCAATATTATCATAATTAGCCTTTAATTATATTAATGTGTGAATGACCCAATAATCTGATGAGCAACTGAAAACATTTTAGAATTAATGTCGAATATCGTATGTGTTTAAAACCATCAAGCAATTACATGAAGTGACTGAGAAAAAGGCCGATAAATGTATCAGAATAGCCGGCCCTGAGCCTCGATTCGAGGGCGACATTCAGTTTACAAGAGAGAAGTTGACCATGAAATGCTGCCGACCTCTGGTCTGGGGTCATTAATGCACGACTGCTGTAACAATTTTTATTATTTGCTTTACGAGTGCGATTATTTTTATGCACTTCCTTTTATTTCGCTGTCTCGTCTCCGTGCCTCTAGGATTTTACTTTCCCATAAATGTAACGCGAAGCACGCAGAGTTAACCTCTGACTAAGAACCACACGTTGCGTATAAGGGCGTGGAGCCAGTCGGGGCACAATATGGAGATAATGGTCACCGTCACGCTCCGGCTATTTTATTCCTTGTGAAACAAAGTCTCTTACCTCACCGGACCGGTCCCAGAGGCGTTGTGGCGGAAAGAAACCATAAAAAAATGTAAAAGTTAAAGCTATCCCTGTTAACAGATGGTGGGGGCCCATAGGGTTGTGAGACGTCGAGGTTCCCATATTTTCTAGACAATCGACTCACAGATGGAGGTGAGGTAGTCAGTCATACGCGCCGGGCGCATTTTACCCCCAGGAAGATTCATGAGAGTCTGAGTAGACCCCAGAGACCAAGTGCCTCAACCAACTACGCTACCGCGTGCCCCTTGGTAATACACACGAGTCAGAGGACACGAGAAATTTCCTGGCTGCCGAGTGTCTAGAAGCTCCTCAAGAACTCCATGGGCTTAAGCTGGATGTGAGAATATGAAGACGGTGAGTGTGAAGGGGAGGGGGGTTGTTGAGTTGTAACGGCTCCGAACCGTCGGCCTCTAGCCAAACTACACGACATTACAATCAAGATGGCCGTATTTTTCATGGAGTGAGTCAGTGAAGTGTGTATCTTCTGATATTATAAAGATTTCAGAAATATAAGGAAGACTGTTTAAATGTCGTGCCATCATACTTGTTGCCATATTAAGGAATACACTGTTGTATTTTAGCGACCTGTTGCACTGATTCGTATCCATAATGTGTATATATTTACAACGCACTCAGCCACATAAGAAAGACACACCATAAGACACAGTATACACAATTAAAACATAAGAAGGACGACTCCCATAGCGGATGAATGGCGTTACACACGAGTTTAATATACAACATGTAAGATGATAGATCTTAACAAGTTTTAATATATAAATTTACTATTGAACAACGACGAACACACATTTTATATCATTTTATAAAAGGACACTTGATGGCAGGCAGTGCAATGGTTTAACGTGATTGATACACCTGAAGATGGCAGAATGATGCCGAAACATGTAGTGTGAAGCGACAAGTGAAATTGTATGCACTAAAAGACGGTAAATATTTACACTATGTAAGATTTGAGGCTTTCACGGCGGTGACTATGAAGAATGCAGTCTTCTGGGATTTTGCACCGTGTATATGTGGTGTTAATCGACGTTTCAGAGGAACGTATCGCCTCCATCTTCAGGGTAGAAGAAAAAAATATATAAGAAATCTGCAAGCAAAGAGACCGTGAGAACCGGTAAAAGCAGACTGCTTTCTTCAAATATTTACACATTATGGAAAATAAATACAGGTTTTAAGAAGAGCAGAACGGCTGAATTCACTTTAAAAAGCATCACACGCCACACTTTCATAGACATGAGGACTGTCTGGAGAATTTTTATAATAAACTGCCGAATATAAAGAAAACTTGTTCTAGATATAATTTAGTGATGTCAGTTCCCTCCTGAGGAGCAGGGATAGCTCAGTCGGTATAGCGACTGGCTACGGGGTGGACGAGCGAGGGGTCGTATTTCGAGTAGGGTCAAGAATTTTTTCTTCTCCACGTCGTCCAGACCGGCTCTGGGGTTCACCTAGCCTCCTACCCAAAGGGTACCGGGGGGAAAGCCGCCGGGGCGTGAAACTTACCACTCACCTCCAACTAGTTCCGAGGTCAAGGAAATGTGGATCTATACATCCACTCCCCCATAAGCCTTCATGGCGTACTGCTTAATTAGTTAAGCATAGGGACAACTTTATCTTCACTTCCATTCTACGTCGGTATGACGTAGAATCTACGTCGTAGATTCTCAGGACGAGATAAGTATTTGAACGCATCTCATAAAATGCACCTCGGAATAAGACTCCTGCTGTTATAAACAAGGAACTGCCTGTTCTAACACGGCTTGGTAACCGAAGTAAACAGAAACAAGTTCTCAGAATTGCAGCTCCGTTTCCTGATAACTGCACTTAAGTTTCATGCTTAAACTTTAGGCGATTCTTCATACTCCAGAGGATTGTACAATCAGTTAAAAATTGTATTTAAACCGTCCTCTTCTTCTTTTGGGGGCTCGCGGTAGCGTAGTTGGTTGAGGCACTATGTTCAAGCCGAAAGATCGCGGGTTCGAATCCCGAGGAAGTCATTGAATTTTTTTCAGTCAACCTAATTCTTCCAACCGCAATATGACCCTGGGTTCGACACAGCCTCTAACAGCAATGAGTACCAGGAATCTTCCTGAGGTGTAAAAGGCAGATGAAGGGTAAGGNTGGGGTTCACCTAGCCTCCTACCCAAAGGGTACCGGGGGGAAAGCCGCCGGGGCGTGAAACTTACCACTCACCTCCAACTAGTGCCGCGGTCAAGGAAATGTGGATCTATACATCCACTCCCCCATAAGCCTTCATGGCGTACTGCTTAATTAGTTAAGCATAGGGACAACTTTATCTTCACTTCCATTCTACGTCGGTATGACGTAGAATCTACGTCGTAGATTCTCAG